ATCGCGCGCCGGCGGGCCCACCTCGTGGCTGAGAAGCGCAAATGACCACCAGGCCCGAGGCGGGAGGCGGAGTAACTGTGCCCGAGGTCCGCGGTCTCTCGGGGTCGTGCACCCGGCACTCGCAGTCGGGCACAACTTAAGGAAATGATACGGTAGTCCGAAGTGGGTTGCGCTTGAGATTTCATTTCCGGGTGTGATGGCCCCGCGATTAAAAGCGAGCCGAAACGTTGCATTAATGATGAATGTGAGTAGTTGTCAAGCTGCGCCCTTGATTGTGGGATCTGATTAGAGTTTCCTTCTCATCAGGCTTCTGTTGTCCGCAAGTCTTCTGGTAGGAAGACAAGGGGTGGAAGGATGTTGGAGGGAAAGTGGAGAGGACAGGGCATGATTGGTCGTTACGGAATTTTAGTCCTTTAAATGGCTATATCATCGCTTGGATGGGTGAGGAGTTTATAATTTGGGAAAATTAGAGATGCTTGATACTGTGACTTGTGGTTAGCTAGAGCCAGGTATCAGTGTCTTCCCCACCCAGCCAGTTTCCCATCTCACCTTGAAAAGAAGGAATAGGAATGTGGGATCTTCTAGCTTTTAAATTGTAGGAGTTTATACATGATTGATGTTTGCTAACTATTCCTGTCCTCCTGGTGTTATAAATTAATACATAAATTTCATTGGGGTTGATTTTAAAAATTGAGGTAGAGACCTCAGTGTGCCTATTCCTTGAGTTTATCCAGGACCTTTGAGTAAAGCCTTAGAGCACTTCCACATACATTATTGATCATCAAGACATGGCTTTGGGAAACTGAGGTACAGGTGTTAAAGATGCTAAATCATTCCTCTGGACTCAGAGCCAACCTCAGGTAGATTGAAAATTAACGTTCTGTGTGAAGTTAATAACTTTCCTGAAGTTTATGAAGTCATTGGACTTTGCAGTGGAATCAGTCAATAGGAAGGGCTTCCCCATTTGAAAGTGCTTACCAAAGGTGAATAAAAAGGCACAAGCAAGTAATTGGGATTCTCAGCCTCCCTCACAAGAAAATGCGCGATAGAATGGATGTGGCAAAGATGAGCAAATCTTGGAGCTCACAGCTTCTCTTCAGTGTGGCTGGTGAAAATGTGGCATTGATTTGTTCTGCTGTTTCTCTGAAGCCAGTAGGCAACTAGCTACGATTTAGTTAAAGAGTGAAAACTTGAAAACACATGCCCTGCTCTTCTTTCTGGATACTTTGGGCTTTTTTGGGTTTTTTTTTTGTTTTCTTTTTTTAAAGATTTTATTTATTT